AATTTACAATTTTAAAATATTTTTAACTTACTTTAAAATTAAAAAATAATTTAAGAACTTATGAAGTCATCTATATAATATTCTTAAATTAAATTTTTATAAGAGGTCCATTCACTCTAGTTTATAAACTAACAAAGCTAAACTAGATCTGCTGAATGTAAAATTTAATATTTTATCTACTTGTAAGACGGAGACCACTCATGCGGTTGTAATGTCTTCTAAAAAATGTTCTTTAATATTGTGGATATTTTATTAGTACTTAAGCTTAGCTATAGTTAGCAGTTGTTGCATTTATATAGATTCTAGACCATTAAATACATTAAATGAAATAATATGCAAAATATAATTACAATAAGAKCATTAARTAAAACCAAAAACTAAGTGTTATTTTATTTTGTCATTAAAACAGTCATTTTTGGGTTTTAYGTAATAGTTAGTCCAGAGTGTAATACTTGGGGTCATGCTATTGCGTCAATTTTAATAAAAAGACTTAGTYTTGACAAAAACTAGTTTGTTTACAATGTCCAATTTTATTCTGAAAAAAAAAAAAATTGAATTTGACTCAATAGATCCTACAGAATACGTTGTAAAAATTAAATCTTATATCATTGTGAACTGTTATTGAAAACTTGAAAATATGAATTTTTTTAAAGTTACAGATGGAAACAGAAAATATTTCATACAGATCTACAGACATTTTTCTGCTGAATTCGAATATTTTTTCAGAACCAAAATCTAAAAACCTTAACTAACCTTAATTTTGTCAAAACAATAAGTAAATTGTTCCGAAATTTGTATAGTGAATTGTATACTAATATTGAGTTATTGATATGTGCATGCGCGTACTAGAGTGGTACTCGCATTGAATTTCACTCATTAATAATCATTTACAACTACTAACGCATAGATCCCGGGTGCTAAAACGAAATTAAAAATTAGATAAATAAAAGCTATAACTAGACCCCTCAATACACTAATTATTACTAGTAAGTATTWTACATACAAACAGTTTTTGTAACTACATATAMCATATTGTAATTTGTAGTCCAACTYTTCAAGTAATAATAATAAATAACATACTACAACATGCATAAAAACAAGACTAAGAAGGATTTGCTTGTAAATTAATTTAGTATTTTTATTAAATTTCATCCTCTAGTTATAATCTATTTTAATCACGAATTAAGATATGGATGACTGTTAATTGATTTACCAATACAGTTTTGGGGTAACTTGGTGAATTTTCCCTCTATTTGCAGCTTTAGCATTCCTATTATAACGACATAACTCATTTAGATGTAGCTTTACATAGAGCTTGTGCTGTACAATTATTGAAWAACCACCTGTAACTTTGCCACAGTACTTTTAGGGAAACATTATCTATCTTCGTGTCTAGTCTATTATAGACTGTCTATAGGTATCTTAGTTCATGGTTTTAAGTRAAAATAAGATAAGACTAGCTGCCCAGTAAACATGTGAATGTCTATTAGATGTCTATTATATACAATTTTTTAGATCAAAATATCTATTTTTGATGTATAATAAATGTCCTTTTTATGTTCTAAAATAAGTCTAAATGAGACAAATATTTAAAGTCTAAGTGAATATTGATAATAAACGTATTTAAGACTGTCTTTTATTGGTATACAAACTAGCACTTTAGATGTAAATAAACTTTCTATTATTTGTATAGGATAGGATATGAGATACATGACTAATTAATATAATTTAATTTAATATAGTCTTTAGTCTTAAACTATAATTTTTAAGTTAACCATTATTGACTAATAAGTCCACTTATTTATTATTATAAATTTAGAGGTAAATGTAAATATTTACAGTTGGATAGGCATTAAATGTATAAATAGATAATAATTAATAATTAGA